GACCGGCTCCTCATCTCGGGGTAGGGCGTGGGGGGGCGAGATGTGGCTGCTGCTGCCTGCTGCTGGTTTGGCGGTTGCTGGGCCATGGCTGGGTCGTGTTGTTGCTGCTGCTGCTGCTGCTGCTGCTGCGTGTCGGTGACTTCGCTCTCATCGATGACAGACGGGGAGGGGGGCGGGGGCGGGGTGGGCGGCTCGGCTATCGACATACCAGGAGGGGGAGGGCCCGCGAACGGCATCCGACGACGGACCTGCCAACACACACACACACAAGACCCACCACGTCTCTGTGTCCGCTGTGTGCGCGTTGCCTTGGGTGGTTGACTGACGTACCGATGAGACGAGGAACCGTATTGCCTGAGAGAATCCGGGCATGCGGTGAGCCCCAGAGCGGGTTGCTGAGTAGCATGAGGCTGCCCTGCCCGTCGAGCGAGACGGATGCGTTGCGGCCGGCCAGTCGTCGCGAGAGGGCCGTACTGTCGTAGCCCATCCTGCTGGAGGAGGGGTCGGTGTCGCTCGGCAGGGGCGTCTTCAGCAGACCGTTGAAACGGATGATACCGTAATCCTCACCTGACATATATATCATACATGGCAGGGAGTGTGTGCAGTGGTGGCTGTGGCTGGGATGGGATACTCACTCATGTGTGGTGCCTACCGTGAATGCCCATGACTCGGACGAAGCTCTCGTCTGTGGCGGCGGTGATGAAGTGCCGACTGGTTGACAAATACAACGACCTAAAGAAGAAAAAAACGCAGGCCAGGCAGGGAGGGAACACATACATACCATCCATTTCTCGGGTGTGTCTGTCTTGTCTGCTACCGTCCGACTGAGGTACCTGCGGTAGTTTTGCTGAGAGTGCAGCGGCGGCACTTGCAGGCCGTCATGCGACGGGTACTCACACGCACTGCCCAGGGAGAACTGATGCAGGCTCGCATCGATGCCACTGCACAGCAGGAAGCGGTCGTCGGGCGAGAAGCAGCACATGACGTTGAGACACCCCGTGTGGAAACATTGAGCCGGCCGGCTGCTGCAGATCTTTTCACGCAAATCCCACAACCTGCACACGACAACAGGCAACAGACCATCAGCCTTTTGCACACACAGAGAGAGAGAGAGAGACCCCGCCGAATGCTCACTTGCACGTCTGGTCGAACGACGATGTCGCGAAAATGTGAGGCGAGTGATCGGAAAACCTGTACAGCAGACACACACAAACAGAGACACAGAGAGGTCAGGAACGTGCCTCTTGTGCTGCCAGGGGCTTGGATTCCTTCCTGACCTCAGTATGTTGATGTGGTGGTGGTGGACGTTGTCGAACACCTGCAGCTGCCGCGCCGTGGCCACGTCATAGAGCGCCAAGTCACGCCTAAACCCTGACGTCATGAAGTAGTCGTCACTCACATTCACTGACAAAGAACTGCACACACACACAGGGGCAGAGAGAGAGACGGGGAGGGAGCAATGGATACACACATCACATCGACACAGAGATGGCCGGAGGCCGGTGTGTATCTGGCCCACCTACCTGAGTTGTTCGAATCTTCTGCAGCTGTGTAGTCTCCTGAGTCCCCTGCCCAGGCCCTCGTTCTCGTCCCACTGCAGCATGCAGGTGGTGCCATCGTTGGCCGCACCGCATATGGCGATCGTAGGGTGCAGATGCAGCCACGCTAAACCCAGGATGGGGCACTGCGCCACGGGCTCCCTGCCGACTGACACATCCCTCTCGAAGTCTATCACCGACACCTGCACACACACATGCACACACACAGAGGTGTGTAAAGGACACACGTCATCCCTCTCTCCCTCTCTCCCTCCCTCCCCGGCTCACCGCGCCACTTTTGTGTCCGACGAGCATCACATCTTCCCTCACAGGATGGAACTCAAACTGCCGCGCGTCGCGGGAGGTCCGCACCACCCGCAGGTCCTCGTGCGGCACCACACGCCAATTCGGACTCGACCAACCCTCCACCATTTCGCCCTCCTTGGCTCTCCGGCCATTGGGGGCCATTGCTGGGCGTGTGGCGGGCTCGCTGACGGGGGGCAGGTGAAATGCATAGCTCTCGGAGTAGGAGCGACATCGTGTCTTGGCTGCTGCTGCTGCTGCTGCCGCTGTGGTGGTGGTGCATGTGGAGTGAGCGAAGCTGTATCTGTGTCGCTGCTCGCACTCATAGTGGCGGGGATGTGCCGCGGGGCTGTCGCAGCGGAAGTCCATCTGACAGAGGGGAGGGAGACAGGGGGGGAGGAAAGGGAGGGACACACACACACACACAGACACGTGTGTATCATGGCTGGATCCTCTCTCCCTCTATCGGTACCTCTGAGTCGTCATCCGACATGCCAATGATTCCGTCGTCCTCCTGATCTTCCCCATCACCAGCACCAGCACCAACACAAACGTCACAAGGCTTCTCGTCCGCAGCGCTGTCCCCAGCCGGCTGGCGACACCTCGGC